GGAGGACCTTAAAACTTCTCCTTGATCTCAACTAGATGCTTACTTTCATCACCAGAAATAAAGGAACTAAAACCAAGAACTTCCCAAGGTCTTGCAGTACATTGGGGCTGTACAGCTGTACCCCCTCCAACTCACCTCTGTGATGTAGACTTTGCTGGCCCTCACAGACTTGCCATCAAGTGGCAGATCCTGGGCAGTGGGCTAAACCTAGTCTTAGGGAGATTCCAGGTGGAGAGGCAGAGCAAAGACCTACCTGGTGCATTGCTCTTGCTAAAGTTCCCTTCTGCTTACATCCCTTTCGTTAGCTGGCTCCCCACTGCTGAGTTAAGGCTTTGAGTGCTCAGTGCTAGAATTCTTGCCTTTTATGCAGGAGACCCAGGTTTAGTTCCTGTCCAATGAACCTCATGCATAGCCACTGCCAGTCTGTTAGGGGGCTTGTTGCTATGGTGTTGAAGAGGTTTAAGAGGAGCTTCCAAACTAAGACAGACTAGAAAGAAAAGCCTAGCTTCCAAAAATCAGCCAGTGGAAACTTTTTGGATCACAGTCATCTGATCCACAACCAATCATGGGGCTGGTACAGGATCAGGCAGCATTTTCTGTTGTGTATGGTGGTCACCATGAGTCAGGGGTCAACTTGACAGCAGATAACAACAACAACAAACAACCTCAGGGACCCATGCCCACCTTAGGATGGTCTTTCCACCTATCCAGCCTTGTCTTCCACTGCTGCTGATCCAGTGCCACACTACAACCAAATCAGGTAATCTGACTATTTCCAGGATAGGCCATGTCATGTCCCCTGCCCCATGCATTTATTTGAGTAGCTATTTCTCTCTGGAATGACCCACTTCCTTCAGTCTTTACCTAATAAAATATTCCTAATCTGTGAGGCTTATTACAGGTACCTCTTAACTCCACAAGACACAGAACATTTCATCCGCCAACTGGATGAGCTTCCCTTCTTTTTGACTCTAGTAACACATTATCTTTATCACCTCCCTTTGTCCTGTTGTTACTCCTGTGCTTGCCTTACCTATCCTAAATGTGTGTGTTCTTGATGGTGGGGCTCCAAGCTCACTGCCATCGAATCAATGTATAAGTCTTGATTCATAGAGACTCATAGAGAACTGTTCTTGGATTTCTAAGGGAGTATCTCTATGAAAGTAGATTGCCCAGCCTTCCTTCTGAGGAAGGACTGGGTTTGAACCACCAGCCTTCTGGTCAAATGCCATAGGCAGTATACCACCAGAGCTCACTTAAGTAAGTGGGGAGCTTATTCATATTGAAATCGCTGTGAGATGACAGGGGAGCTTTTGTAGTCATTGAGGTGAACAGAGGCAAGCCCTGAAGTGTGCATATATTTGGGGGATGGAGTCTGTGTGGGAATAATCCAGGCCACAGTCAGGGTTGCTGTCTTCAAAAAGAGTAGCAGCTACAGATCCTGCTTGGAGGGGAAAAAAATAACTGGCTGAACTGGTGGAAGGAACCTGCCTGCTTATTTGAAAATCACATAAATGACTTACTTGGAGACAGATTCTCAGCAGAAAGCAGATAGTGTTCTCACATAGTATGGAATTGCCTGCATTCCTAAGGGATAAGACTCAGCATCAGAACAAAGCTGATTCCCATGAGGTAGAGGTCAGACATACCTCCACTCTCCCACTTCTTCACTATTTCTGACACCAGACAGTTCCCCCACAATATTCTCTACTTCTCTGTCGGGTTCAATAATTTGTTGCAATGGCCACACAGAATTAAGACCATACTCATAATTATGTGATTTATTAGGGAAGTGACAGGCTACAACTTGGGATTAGGATCAACTTGGAAGTAACAGGAACAACTTAGGATCAGGAAACACATAGGCAAGGCTCTTTGTGTGTGTGTGTGTGTGTGTGTGTGTGATAAATACATATTACATTTCCCATTTCAAACACTTTTACAGAAATAATTCAGTGACATTCATTATGTTCCAAATCTTGTTCATCTTTATATCCCCAACGACCAGCACATTTCCTGGCACACAGTTGGTGCTTGATAGGTGCTTGCTGATGAGTGGATGATGTGCTGACAATATGGAATAGCCCTGACTTTGCTGGTTGGGTATCTCAGGCACATCCCTGACAGGGCAGCCCCAATCCCAGTGACCGCCCCAGGGACTCTTGTTCCATAGCAGTCATGTGATCCTGGGAGGGTTGTCCTGAGGCAGGAGCTCTGTTGCCCTTGGTGCCAGGACCTGTGTCCCCTCAGCTCACTACTGCCTATTGCCTCGAAGGGAAGTGGCATGAGTTCCTAATGCTCCTTTTCCAGGCACGTCCAGGGAGGCAGGGCCATGGTCACGTTCATGGCCTCTGACAGCGAGGAAGAAGTGTGTGACGAGAGGACTTCTCTGATGTCAGCTGAGAGCCCCACGCCACGCATCCACCAGGAGGGCAGGCAGGGCCCAGAAGATAGAGAGAATACCACCCAGTGGGTAGGTGCTCACTGACTGGCCAAGGCTGAGACAGGCCAATGGGGTTTCTGTGCCTTAGGGAGGAAAACCAAGTACTCCTGTATGCAAGTTGTTGTTGTTGTTGTTGTTATATGCCATGGAGTCGGACCCGACTCACAGCGACCCCTCCTTGGGTTTCCGAGGCGGTATCACTACGGAAGTAGATTGCCCAAACTTCAAGAGGAGGTGGAAATTAGACAAAATGGGGACAGGTTTCCCTGATTGATCTGTAGTGAGATCTTCTTTCTGTGAGTGCTTTACCATGGACTCTTCAGTCCTAGGCTGTTTAAAATTGGCTTTAGAATGGGTCTAATGAGTCTTAGTGCCCCAACGCAGATCCTATAGGTGCAGGTTACACAGTCACATGAGAGTGAGTTTGGATGCATGGATGCTAGGACAGGTTAGCAGAGACGCTGGAGGAAAACATTTGGTAGATGGCCAGACGTGGTAACCAAGGGGTAAGTATACTTAATTTGTGTTTGTGGTACAGTGGTGGTTCAATAATAGAATGCTCATTTCTTGTAGGAGATCAGGTTTAATTCCTAGCCAGTGTACCACATGTGCAACTACCACCTGTCTACCAGTGGAGGATTATGTGTCGCTATGAGTCTGTGCAAGTTGCACTGGAACTTCCACTGAAACTTCAGTGGACTAGGAAGAAGGACTTGGTAGTCTACTTCCAAAAATCAGCCAGTGATAATCCTATAGAGTACAATGGCCCAATCCTGTTGCACATGGGTTACCATGACCTACTGACATCTAGCAACAATTTGTGTTTGTTTTTGAGCTGGAGACAGATGGGCCACACTGTGCCTTATCTCTGCCACCCTCAGGGCAGGAGATGAGACATACTTGAGAGCATCCCTTAGCTATGCCACCTCCCACCCTGTTCTGGTTACCTAGTGTCACTCTGACAAGAATATACCACAAATGGAATGGCCTTAACAAACAGGAGTTTATTCTTAAAATTTGGAGGCTTTAAGTGTCTAAGTTCAAAGTGCCAGGCTGTAGGGGCTGGGTGAAAGCCCCTCAACCTTGGGGTCCAGCTCTGTCTCCTGCTCCCGGCCTATTGTAGCTAGAGGCGTTTCTTCACTCAGACAGCTGCTGGTTGCTGAGGCTGAGAAGCCCCAAGGTTGACAAGTCAAAAGGCACAGTCCCAATGTTACCAAACCACGCAGTAGGCCATTCACTTAAGTTCATTGTAAGTCCCAAGGTTGGCAGAGTATAGCAGGCTGCTGAACAGCAACACAACTACATGCAGGGTCCAAGCGTGCCATAGGCTAGAGGCCATTCTCAAAGCTTCTCCTTATATACAGGAAGCAGACCACATACCCAAAGGCAGCTATTCAGCTGCTTCCAGTAGATTCCACCATGGAGTTGATTACCAGTCTCATCATGGGGAATACTACATCCAGCTGCCCAGCCACTCAACCAGGCCTAGCCAAGTTGACATACAAACATAACCATCACACACCCTTAATAAGAGCAAAACAGCATCTAAATTTTCCTGAACCCTATTATGTTTTTCCCATTATGATATTTAAAACCCTTGGCATGTGTTTTTTTTCTTCCAGCCAGCCTAATTCTCCTTGCTGAAATTTGAGCTCGATTCTTCATTTATTCTGGAATTTGTGTGCATTTTTGTTTCACTTCATATTCATTAACAGTTTTTCTTTTCCTCTCAACCCAATATTTAGATTGGGATTTTCTCTGCAAACAATTTATGCTGAAATAATATTTCTGATTTATATTTTATCTGGCTTTTTCTTTGGCTGTTAATCTAATTAGCAAAACAGCTGATGACCCTAAATTTCCAAAAAAAAAACCTTACAAACCATTTTGTGCCCAAATCTGGTGGATTTCTTACTCCTCATTTATTTTCTCCTAACTTCCCATAAAGGAGAGGTGGTGGCACAGTGGTTAAAGCATTCAGGTGCTAACCAAAAGGTCGGTGGTTTGAACCCACCAGCCACTCTGAGGGAGAAAGATGAGGCACTCTACCTCCGTAAAGATATATAGCCTTAGAAGCCCTATGGAGCAGTTCTACTCTGTCCTGTAGGATCTTTATGAGTCAGAATCAGCTTGATGGCAGTGAGTTTGTTTTAACCTTTCCATAGTGAGGTCCCTGGTGGCATAAATGGTTTGTACTTGCTAACCTAAAAAGGTTAGGAGTTTGGACCCACCCAGTTGGCACCATGGAAGAAAGGCCTGGTGATCTTAAAGCCAAGAAAACCCTATGGAGCAGTTCTACTTTTTAATACACGGGGTTGCCGTGAGTTGGAATTAACTCAACAGCAGCAAGTTTGAGTTTTGGTTACCTTCCCATACCCTTGTCCTCCCAGATGCTGGACATCTAGTCAACCTTTCTAGAGTAGCAAAATTTATGTGATTGATTTTGTGGGGCAAAAAGTTCAAAGTAATTTTTTTCCCCCTGGAGATTTCCAGTGTTATTCATAATCAGAGTCCCCAAGTATGCTGATGATTCTAGTTTATGATTTTTCAAACAAATATATTTAATCTCTCTTTCCAGGAGGCATGTGTCCTCCTGAATATGACCATGTAAGCAGAATTGAATATTGTCCAGAGCAGTTTGTATTTGGGAAGGGGAAGGATCTTTGATCTTTGGCCCCTCTGGTCTTGGGCTTGTGGACTGCCTTCTTCTTGATTACAGTGGCCTTCCCTTCTGGTTTGTGCTTAGTGCCATTTCAAAGTTTTCTCTACTATTATCCTTGTCAACCTTTGAAATATCCTGGAAATTCTAGCACTCCCATGTCCAAATTACAGCTCACAGACAGCTTCGTACATTTGTTGTTGTTATGTTGTTACGTGCCATCGAGCTGGATCCAACTCATAGCGACCCCTCCTTGGGTTTCTTAGGCAGTATCACTATGGAAGTAGATTACTCAACCTTCTTTCTGAGGAGTGGCTGGTGGGTTTGAACCTCTGGCTTTCTGGTTAGCAGTGAAGTGCCTTAGGCACTATGCTACCAGAGATCCTTCTTACATTTAGAAAGGCACATTCAAATTTCTCTTTTTGAGTTCTAAGAATTCATGCATTGTATCAGTAGGCCACCCATGGAGGCCATCCCTTGCAAGGCATCCTTTGGCGGGCTTCCTGTGGCCCTCACAATGTGGTTTCCCACAGAGAAGCCAGGAGAGTGAAGAGGACTGTGAGGAGGACCCTGACTGCTACGTCTCCAGTGGGGTGCCTGGGCGACCCCCAGGCCTGGAGGAAGAGCTGACCCTCAAATATGGGGCGAAGCATGTGATCATGCTGTTTGTGCCTGTCACGCTGTGCATGGTCGTGGTGGTGGCCACCATCAAGTCCGTGCGCTTCTACACAGAGAAGAATGGACAGCTGTGAGTTGGGGCCGGGTATAGCATGGGACAAGGTCAAGGGTATGTGCAGAGTCTGATGACCATCTGCAGCCCCCCCACCAGGGACTGCCTGTGAGTTTGTACCCTGGTCTACCTCCTTGGGCATGACCCTCAACTCTCTATGCCTCAGTTTCTGGTCTGTATAATGGGTTTAATCGGGATTACTGGGAGAATTCCATAAGCAAGCCCATGTAAAGATCTTAGAACAGTACCTGCCCCAGAGTGAATACTTGGGCACAGTGGCATTTATTATAGACGGTGAGCCCTCACATGCCACACCGGAGGTCAGGCTCCTGTCATGACTGGGCATCACTGTGTGACCCCAAACAAGTTACTTCCTCTCTGGGCCTCTGGTGCTTGAATGTAAGAGGAGATGGTTCAACCAGATGATCCTGTGGCTCACTTACAGCCTTGTTAGGGAGATAGAGCCCATTTATGTTTATTTTAGTAGAAATAGCACATATACAAAGCAACCTAGACAAATGGAGAGCTTCCCCACCCACATCCACTGTCCCAGGGTCACAACTGCTGAGGGCTGACCCTCCCTGAGCATGTTCTTTTAACTGGGGGATTCTTGTTTAGTTTTTGTTTTGTTTTGTTTGTTTGTTTTAAAGAAAGGAATAGAATGAGAAGCCACCCCCCCTCCCCAGCCCCCAGGAAGTATATAGTCTGTTGGGGATGCAGAGCAGCCCAGGTGAAAAGCGATAAGAGAACTTAGCCAGCCTTTTGCTTCTAGCAGTCCATGTTGGAAAGAGTGAGGTATTAATCAGTTGCTTTTTGTTTCTGATTTTTAGTTTATTAGCAGCAAGTGCAGTGACTGGGCTACTTGGGGTGGGGGTGGGTGGGGAAAGCAGGAGGGGTGGAGGAATTCTAGCCTGGGCAAACTGATGGTGAAGGTTTGGGGGTGGGGAAGTGCTAAGGGGAGTGGAGAAGTGGGAGGGACCGAGAGAAGCGACCAGGGGAGCCTCGAGGGAAGGTTTTAAAATCTGAGTGGTGGTGGGGTGGGGGGAGAATGTGGGGGTAGGTAAAGCAGGATGGTGAGGTGGTCCCGTCGATTTCCCTCTGTGACACTGGGCTCTAGTTGCTGTCAAATCAACTCCAACTCATGGAGTCCCTGGGTGGTACAAAAGGTTAACAGACTTGCTGCTAATAAAAGTGGGAGATTCAAGTCTATTCAGAGGCACCCCAGAAGCACAACCTGGCAATCTACTTGCAAAAACTCAGCTACTGAAAACTCTCACATGGGGTCACCATGAGTTGGAGTTGACTTGATGGCAGCTGGTCACTGGTTACAGAGGGCTCAGTCTTCAGGCTGAGAACCATATGTACACAGAGTTGCAGGAAACAGGTTGGGAGACAAGGTGGTGGTAGTGGGCAGCATCTGCCAGGGCAGAGAGGCCTTCCCCCAGCATGAGGGTGGGCACAGTCTCGTGTTTCTGGGGTGAACTCCACCAGCAGGGCCGAGGATCACATGGGGTAGTGTATGCGTGACAGACAGGACCAGAGACCTTTCCCTTTCCCCTCAGTATCTACACGCCTTTCACCGAGGACACGCCCTCAGTGGGCCAGCGCCTCCTCAACTCCGTGCTCAACACCCTCATCATGATCAGCGTCATCGTGGTCATGACCATCTTCCTGGTTATGCTGTACAAGTACCGCTGCTACAAGGTGAGGACCCAGACACATCAGCCGTCTGCCCCCCTCCTTTCCCTCCAGTCCACGCACACCTCTGCCTAGGGAGTCCTTTATACAACTACTTTTTTTTTTTTTAAGTGGAAAAAAAAAACAACTGTCACAGTTCCTTTTTGTGGTTAAAAAACCCACCTGTTGAGTAGACTGACTCATGGTGGCCTCGGGTGTGCTCTGTGGAGTTTTCAATGGCTGCTTTTTTGGAAGTACATCGCCAGGTCTTTTCTTCCAAGGCACTTCTGGATGGACTCAAACCTCCAGCCTTTCATGCATTAACCATTTACACCACAAGGGACTTCTGCAAAACTGACTCTGATTTTTGGTTCTGTTTCCCACCCCACCCAGCCCCCACCATGGATTACGCAATACTGTAGTTTTTTAAATTGACAGATAATGTCACTCAGTTGAGTTCCTCCTTAGAATATTCAAAGTGTCACTTCTCCTATTCACAAGTTAATTTTATTTTGCTTCTCCTTCCCAAGAAGTAAGAAGTTCTATTTTAGGCTCTTTTCTGCATATGACCACTAAACAGAAGGCTGACAGTTCAAACCCACCAGCCATTCCTCGGAAGGAAGGTTGGGCAATCTACTTCCGTAGTGATATCGCCTTGGGGTCGCTATGAGTCAGATCTGACTCAATGGCAATGAGTTTGATTTCAGCGTGATGCTTCCCCTCCAGATTTATTTTTATTTTCCATTTCCTTTTTTGGACAGAGATACACATATTCCATGCCGAGGTCTTCTTGCCCTGGGAGGTGTTGGGGTTGGCCCCAGGAAGCAGTGGAAGAGCTGAGTCCCACCTGGCCTGAATCACATGCATTTTCTGTGCTCCAAAGATGCCATATGATTTTAGACGTTGGTTTCTAGTCCTTTCTCCCAAGGAAGGCTTTGAAACCTTAAGGACTGAGAGGAAGTTAAGCTAGGCATTAAATCAGTTGCTGTTGACTCCCGGAGACCCCATGTATGTTGGAGTAGAATTATGCTTCATAGGGTTTCCAGTGGCTAATTTTTCCCAAGTAGTTGCCAGATATTTCTTCTGAGGCTCTTGTAGGCGGACTTGAACCTCCAGCCTTTCCGTCAGCAGCTGAGTGTAACTGTGTGCAGCACTCAGGGACTCCTGAGTTGGCTGTTACCTACTTTAAAACTGTTTAAATGCAGGCACAGTCAGCACTTCTGCAGGCAGTTATTCATGGAGCAGATAGAGGCAGGAGCTCTTAGTCTAGGGAGGTGAGGACATTGGAGTGCAGTGATGGAGCCAGGGGTGCTTCTGGGCTGAGACACAGGAGGGGCTGTCAGGAGATGTTCATGAGTTGCAGCTTATCAATAAATTCAAATGTACTTGAGGCAGAACTTTTAAATTAAATCAGGGTTGGGCATAGAACAAGATGGTGGGAAACACGGTAGAAAGATATTTGTTTGGGGTAGAAACTACAACATGCCTAAGAACAAGTTAGAAATAGCACAGGTGTGGAGAACCAGTGCTGCTGTGGTCAAGGAGGTGTCTGGGAGACCGTTGAAAGGCAACCATCCCTTCAGTGAAGTGTATTGAGCCTGCCTCTGTGGTAAGCCCCATTCTGGGGCCCAGGAATCTAGCTGTGAGCAAGATGGGCAGGTCTCCTCCCAGCTGGACGTTCTTTGACTTTCAGGCAGGAGCTGATGGTGGCCAGGCAGTTGAGGTGGAGGGGGAGGGTGCGTGTGCTCCAGAGGCAGCCCTTCCCCTTCCAGCTGTGCTCTCAGCCCAGCCTTGGCCACTGCTGTCTCCAGAAACCAGGTCCCTGGCTGAGGTCCTTGGTGGACTGAGCTCATGATAGACAGTTCTGTCCGCAGGTGAGGCTGGTAGAAGTGGTACCACTATACCACTGACGGCTGGCTGAGGGACTGATTTCAGATCAGTTCCATCCTTGTCTGTGTCCTTTCCTTGACTGGCCAGGAGAGGGGCAAAATGTCTTCCTGAGAAGACATTTTGGGTTTATAAACCCTCAGGTAGGAGGGTTTGCCCTAGTTTGTCTCTTTTCAAAAATATCTTGCTTTATACCAGTGCTCATGGCAGCACATTGCAGTATAGTAGACAGAAGGTGGCAATAGCCTAAATGTCCATCAACACATGAATGGATAAACAAATTGTGTGCATACATAAAATGAAATATTACTCAGAAAGAAAAATACAGTCCTAATACATGCCAGAACATGAATAAACCTTGAAAACCATATGCTGAGTAAAATAGACAGTCACAAAAGAACAAATTATGTATGATCCCACTTACATGAAATGTCTAGAATAGGCAAATGTGTAGAGACCAAAGTTTATTAGTGGTCACGGGGGGCAGATGGGAAGAGGAGAGGGCGGTTCGTTACTTAGGGAACACTGACCTTCTGTTAAAGGTGATGAGAATATTTGGAAATGGGTAGTGGTGATAGTTGAACAATATGATGACTGTAATTAATGTCACTGAATTGTACCTGTAAAAATACTGAAATGGCAAATATTTTTTGTTTCATATTTATTTACCACATTAAAAAGAAATACTTCCTTCAAGAACCTGTCTTGACACTCTGTAAAATAGCACAAAGGCAGTCTTCTTCTGTACAGCCTTGGAAACCCTATGGGGCAGTTCTATCCTGTCCTGTTGGGTTGCTGTGAGTTGGAATTGACTCCATGGCAGGGGGTTTTGGTTTTTTGAGTCTCTGTCACCTTATCCTGCCTGTTGTTTGTTGGTTTTCTTGGTAGCATTTATCACTATCTGCTGATTCATTATCTATTTATTTATGTTTATTGTGCCTCTCTCCTCACACTGGAGTATATAACATGTGGGCAGAGACAACTAGTTTTATCCCCAGAGTCTAAAATAGTGCCTGATGTGTAACATAATAATAGCTTCCTAAATAGGAGGGCATGCACCAGTGTAGGTATTAGTTTACCTAAATCCTTATCTCAATTCCTTCATAAACCTCGTCTCACATCCTTCATACACTTGCTGGGTGATCTCAAGAGAATTCTTTGAATATCTGTGCCTTCCTCTCCTCATCTGTAAAATGGCCACCCACCACCTTTGTCTTAGTTTCCTAGTGCTGCTGTAACATAATTACCATAAATGGGTGTCTTTAAAGAACAGGAAGTTATTATCTCACAGTTCTGGAGGCTAGAAGACTGACTTTAGAGCATGAGCTTTAGAGACGGCCCCCAGTAGACATCTATCTTTCCCCCTGTATATGTCTCTGTGCTTTATTTATAAGACACCTCTCAGAAATAATTAGGTTTAGGACCCTCCCTACTTTGGCATGGCCACATTAACATAACAACAGAAAAACCCTATTTCCAAACAAGGTCATATTTACAGGGGTTAGTACTTCCATATATTTTGGACCAACACAATTCAATTAATAATAACCTTCCAGTATTGTCATGCAGTGAAATTTCTAAGAAAGACTTTTAGGCATAGGCATCAGGACCAGGAACCAAGGGGTCTGTGGTTTTAGAGGCTTGGGGAGTACCTTATGATCATCTGTCTGTTTCTGTCATCTAGTTTATCCATGGCTGGTTGATCATGTCCTCCCTGATGTTGCTGTTCCTCTTCACCTACATCTACCTTGGGTAAGTGGTAGCTGATGAGCAGCAGGGTCCTTGGGGGGCCCCCTCCCTGTGACATGAGTGACTGTGAAGGACCTGGACAGGCAAAGATGACCGTTGTGCTCCACACCTCCCCAGTGTCAGTCACTCCAGGAATCCAGGCTTTGGGGCTCCTTCCACGGCCTTCTCAATAGGGACAGGGAGTAAGGCTCCATGGTGGACCACATGTCTGTCTGTGGTTCCTGACTTGAAACAAGTAAAGCTGTCATGGAAGAGGCTGTCTATGAACCTAGCAGGAATGAAAACCCTTCAAAATTTAAGTTCTTCTCTTTGGATCAGTCCTGGGTATATCCTGGTTTATGGGAAGAATTGCCCACTATTGCCCTTTGATTTGAGATGTCAGCTTGATCCAAGAGCCCAAAGAGCTTGACAGACCAGCTGCTGTCCAGTCAGCTCCAACTCACAGTGACTTCATGTGTGACAGTTTAGAACTGTTCCATAGGGTTTTCAGTGGCTGATTCTGCAGACGTACATTTCTACTCCTTTCTTCCAGCACCTCTGGGTGGACTCAAACTTCCAGCTCTTCTTAGCTGAGCCTGTTAGCCACTTATACCACCAAGAAAACACTTCCCAAGGACCTTTTCCATATGAAAAACAATCTTCCAGGTCATTCTAGTGCACATCAGTTCACACCCCACCTTGTTCCAGAGTATACGTCAAGTGATTAGTCATAAAGGACCTCTTGTGGCATAGTGGTTAATGTACTCGGCTGCTAACCAAAAGGTCTGCAGTTCAAGCCCACCAGCAGCTCCATGGGAGAAAGATGAGGCAGTCTGCTTCCGTAAAGATTTACAGCCTTGAAACCCTATGAGGCAGCTCTGCTCTGTCCTATAGGGTTGTTATGGGTCGGAATCAACTCGATGGCAGTGGGTTTGGTGTGGGGCTTACTTATAAAACAGTGGAAAAGAGGAGAAGGTAGTAAATAAGGCCAGAGGTTGGAAGAATCCAGGTTAGGATTTACTGGTTGAAAAGCAGGGGCTGTTAAACTGTGTCAGGGTCTCACCTCTCCCCGGGCTCTGTCTTGGTCCTATAGGGAAGTGCTCAAGACCTACAATGTGGCCATGGACTACCCCACCCTCTTCCTGACCGTCTGGAACTTTGGGGCAGTGGGCATGGTGTGCATCCACTGGAAGGGCCCCCTCATGCTTCAGCAGGCCTACCTCATCATGATCAGCGCGCTCATGGCCTTGGTGTTCATCAAGTACCTCCCGGAGTGGTCTGCCTGGGTCATCTTGGGTGCCATCTCTGTGTATGGTGTGTTACGCTCACAGGTCATCCCAGATTTCTAAATAGCCAGGCAGCCATTAGACAAAGGGCACTGGTCACTAGTAGTGATTTCTCCATGAATGTCATGTCCTTCCCATCGGAAACTGAATACACAAAATGCTCCCATGGCATTTGCACATGGAAGGTAGCTCTTATTAGTTACAAAAAGAAGCAGACAGTATACAACAGTACCCCCTAGCTCAAAAGCTGTCCGAGTGAGGATAGAAAACTCTTATAAATGTGCCCTGCTGTGTACCATGGGCAGGGCACTCAAGGCCTTGCACCAGTCCCCTGTCTAGGTAGGCTTAGCTAGGTGGGCTGAAAATTTCTGCTATACATGCTTCATCTGGCACCAAAGCTGAGGGACAAAGAGAGCCTCTCCCCATCTGGTATTATATGCCTGGGGTCACGTGACCCACTACAGGAAGCACAATGTATGTATTTTTTTCAGTCTGACCATGCAAGGAAGAGAGGTAGTTAGATGTTCTGGTGTGCGCCTATATGGAATTGTAACTCTAACCCTGCTGACAAATTTCGGGCTTGAGTGGGGTGGTGGTTTGTTCTGATACCTAAAGATGGTAGGAGGGAGAGGAATGGGGAAGACCATAGTTGCCAGGCTTGTCCTTACACACAGCGTGTGAGCTGGACAGTGGTGGTGACATGCCATGCTGAGTCATCCTCACTGATGCACAGAGTGGCAGGTGGTGGAAAGGTCACTTCCCTTCCAGAGGCTGCCTGGATATTTTTCCTTCTGAGAAATTCACCTCCATAAGCACGTGGAAGTCCCATAGACTCACGGTGTTCTAAAAATAAAACTCTTAGAATTCTGTATTTTCCGTTAATATTGACATGCTTACTAATAACGGCAAACATTTATCGACATCCCTGTGCCAGGCACTATTGAACGCTTTACACATTAAGTTATTTGCAGAATAAGTGCATTTGGCACTAAATCAAAAAAACAAAAACAGGTTCACTGTTGGTTCGACTCATAGCAACCCCTCCTTGGGTTTCTGAGGCGGTATCTCTGTGGAAGTAGATTGCCCAACCTTCCTTTGGAGGAGTGGCTGGTGTATTTGAACAGTGCCTGTAAATAATGAGCATGGTTACTGCTGTTTGAGTATTGTTAACATGATTACTATTCCCAGTATTATTCAATTTTAAAGAAAAGGAACTTGAGACTCAGCACAGTGGAATTCAAACTCAAGTCTTACTTGACTTCTAAGTTTATGCTCTAGGACTCTGAGGCCCACGGCTTTTGCTTGTTTGCAGTAGTTGCCATTGAGTCGACTCTTGACTCCTAGTGACCCCTTGTGTGTCAGAGTAGAACTGCAATCCATATGGTTTTCAGTAGCTGATTTTAGGGGGCGGGGGCATGGATCACCAGGCCTTTCTTAGGTGCCTCTGGACTCAAACCTCCAACCCTTCAGTTAGCAGCAGAATGGTTAACCACTGGCACCACCTAGCACTTTTGGACCTTGCTTTGGCCTTAGCAGGTGTCAATGCTATAGATTATGACTGGAACCTTGTGGGGTTAGGGTGCCAGCTGAACTGTGTGATATGTTAGTAGCCTCACTCTGGGGCCCTGGGAAAATTTGTCCCTTACTCCTGTGTCGGAGGCTGGCTCATCTCTCTGGGGGCATTTTGAGAATAAATATCTTTCATGTAACAAAGACTTCTTTGTTTCCCCAGATCTTGTGGCTGTACTGTGCCCCAAAGGGCCACTGCGGATGCTGGTGGAGACTGCCCAGGAGAGAAATGAGCCCATCTTCCCTGCCCTGATATACTCTTGTGAGTAGCCCCTGTCTCTGCCTGAGGGGGGCTCAGAAGGTACAGGCAGTGAGGCAAGGGACTATTCCTGCCTGTGGCTTTCAGAGAAACTGAGACAGTTATCCTTTTCAAGACCCAAAGGGAAGGATGACCTTAGCAATTCCAGGAGGGTACCCACCTTACAGAGATGAATGTGGGCTGTATCTGCTACTACACAGAAGGCAGCTTGGGGCATTAGAGCAGGAAGGCACATCAGTGGGTATATGGCCCATCCCTGTACCTACATCCCATCCATTGTCCAGTGTCTTGTGGTAGGTCCAGGCTATATACCATGAGCCTGCAGCCTTTGAAGCCTTGTACCACCCCCTCACCCTCCAGGCTTTCTCCAGACTCCAGAGAAAGGGTTTCAGGGAGACTCTTCAGGGCAGGGGTCTGGGGGAGCAGGAGGCTCCTGGTTTTCACTAAACTTCCTTGACATTCCTTGTGTGGTACAACCAGTTAACGTGCCTAGCTACTAACCAAAAGGTTGGAGACTCAAGTCCATTCTGGTGTCTCAGAAGAAAAGCCTGACCACCTACTTAAAAAAAAAAAAAAAAAAAAAAACTAGCCTTATAAACCCGATGGAGCACAGTTCTGCTCTGACACACATGGGGTCAGCATGAGTTGGAGCTGACTCAACAGCAACTAATTTTTCCTTAACAGCATATAACTGAAGTTGATCATTTCTGAAGGGCAGACACACAGTCTTGCCCCTGACCTTTGTATCACTTGGGGGTTTGGGTTTATATGTGCATTAAACACAAGTATGTCAAGTCCCCACTCTCTGGCAGACACTGTGCCAAGCGTGTAGTGGGACCCAAGATTCACATGGTTCCTGCTCCCAGGGAGGACACAGCCCTGTGGCTTTTGTACCCCTCTTCACCCCATCACTGAGATGGAGGAACTTATTTATATAGACAGCTTTCATTGCTGGGGCTCTGGGACCTGCATGTTGCAGGGGAAATCTGAGCCCAGGGAAACAGTTTCTCGAATAGCTACAAAGTGTTAGATAATTTCTATACAAATGAAGATTCAAGTTTGTGATGGGACATCATTAGCAGCCTGTTCAGGGCATGAACACAGGGCAGGCACCTTCTGGGGATAAGATGAGGTCATCTGTATAAAAACTGAGGGCAGTGCCTGGGACAGTCATCTGTGTGGTGGATGTCTGTGCCCTGGGGATTCACCAGGGTACAAAGTGAGGTCTCTGCTGTGATAGAGCACACCTTCTAGAAGGGAGGCAAATAGTAATAAAATAGACAAAGCCCTGAGTCAGGAGGTGATCAGTGTTATGAATAAAAAAAAAAAAAAAAGTGCTTCAGGGTGGGTGAGGGGTAAGTGCTATTTTGCATAGAGTAGTCAGGGAAGGGCTATCTAAGTAGGCTGATACTTGACTAGAGACATTACTTAGCAAAAATCTGGGGACACAGCATTCCAGGCAGAAGGAATAGCAGCTGGTGCAAAGGCCCTGAGGCAGTGTGCCCATGTGTTCAGGGAGCCCAGAAGGCCAGTGTGGCTGGAGCAGAGGGAGTGGAAGTGGAGTGGAAGAAGACATCAGAGAAATGGGGAGGGTCCAGGCCATGTTTGGCCCTGCAAGCCATGATGAGGACTTTGGCTCTTACTCCTAAGTGAGAAGTAAAGCCATTGGAAGATCTTAGGCTGACGAGAGAGTTCAGGCAATATGGTGGAATAGGCAGACAAGCTACACAGACGCTCTGCAACAAAGCAATGAGAAACCAATTGAAACCGATACAGAAGACAATCCTGGAACCCTGAGCTTTGAAGGCAAGGATAAAGAAGTGGATTAAATACCAACTAGTAGAAGAACCTGAACAAAAGCAGTGAGTAAGGAGACAAATAGAGCTGTAGACTACCAGCTGACTGGAGGGCATAGCCATTTTGAATATTAGGTAGCAACCTAAGAATTGGTTCTGCATACTAAGAATTGCATGGACAAGGACTGCATTGATACCTGGCAACCAGAAAGGAAAACAAATAGAAGAAGAAGACAGATAGACCTGTGGACTGCCAGCGGCTGGCTTGAGGGTATAGCCATTTTGAATATTCACGAGCAGCGGGTGTGACTATTTTGAATATATCCAAGTGGTATTCTTAATGGAGGCATAGGATTGGGCTCCACTTTCTGAGAATAGCACAGGCAGCCACATTGGAGGCTGACAACTGGAAAGGTACGATATTCCCCTTGTTACTCTTATACCCCACACACTCTTGGTGAACAGGGGTATGGCCATCCCCCACCTCTACCCACCTTGACCAGCAGGAATTCCATCCTGGTCTGTGCCCTGACAAAGCCTGGGTGCCATCCCCTGCCTGCTACAGTTTTGTTTTAAAATTATTATTTTTATATTCTTACTGGGTTTTTTTTTTAAATCTCTTTCTTGTCCCTTGGCTCTTTTAACCCCCCTCTTTCCTTTTCATGGTCCCCCCCTTTTTTTCCTTTATTTTGGTCCTTGTTTTTCCTTTTCCTTTTCCAGTTATCCCATTTTTTTCCTTTACTATTTTTCTGTTGTTGCTCTTTTTCTCATTCTTCCCTCCACAGATATTGTGGCATTTTTTATTTTCTATCTTTTTTTCATTATCTTCATTTTTATCCAGGAGCTCTGGTAGCATGATGCCTAAGGCACTTGACTGCTAACCAGAAGGCTGGCGGTTCAAACCCACCAGCCACTCCTTGGAAGGAAGGTTGGGCAAGCCTACTTCCGTACTGATACTGCCTCGGAAACCCAAGGAGGGGTCGCTATGAGTCGGGGTCGACTTGATGGCACATAACAACAACAACAACAACAACATTTTTATCCTGTTGAAAATATTCTCATTTATTGCAGGTTTTTTTTTTTTACAATTGTTCCTGTTTGTTTATGCAGATTGAGTTTTTTTTTGTTCTCTTTTATTTTTTTGGTGCTTTTTTGACTTATTTTTGGTCTGAGTGGACGACAACAACTGTTCCAGCACAACTCAACCAAACCTGTACCTCCTGCAGCCCTGTGCACTGAGTGAGGGCCACCACTTACTTTTGGCACCAACTGACCAATGATAGATGGCAGCCAATACCAGCTCAACTCAACTGCTCCTTACAGACAGCTAACAGAGATCTGTGCACACACTCTCATTCTCTTTCATCCATTAAACATACATGCAGTACCACCACAATGTCTCAGAGACAATAGACCATCACAGTCCACACAAAGAAGCAAGATAAGGTAGTAGAAACAAGGGACCAGGATACAAATGCTAAAACTATTCCTGAAGAAGCAGCAGCATTGGAACTCCCTGATGAGAAATTCAAAAGAAATATATGGATACCTTCAATGGATTGAGACACAGATGAAGGAAAACACAAGATCAAGCAAAGCACTGACAAAATTAAGGAAAACATAGACAAAACTCTAAGACAATTTTAGAAAACAAGAACAAATTGACAAAATAAACAAAAAATTAGAAATTATACAAAACAACAAATAGATACAACTATGAGACCAGAAGAACTAGATGGTGCCCAGCTACCACTGTCACCCACTTGGAAGGGGATCTATGTAGGAGATCCTTGATAGAGAGGGAGAACAATGTGGAACAAAACTCAAAATCATTTG